TTTTTTATTTGTGTTTTAAAGATAATAAAAGATTAATGGATGTGAATTGTATAGTCATCTCATTTGTTTTACATTCCGCCTCATGGCTCATCAGTTTCATTGCTTTCTTTCGAGATTGTCTTATCCCTGATCATATATATATATTGACTGTTTCAAATTTTGAATATCTAAACAATCATTTTGAAAATGATTCAAATTAATGTTAAAAAAATATGTATTTTAGTCCATTTATTTCTAAAAATTAACTTGTTTAAAATATATTTTCTGAAACTTTTTAATGACTGGCATGCTTTGAAAAATAAATAACTGAAAAATATTTTAAAAATTACATATATGACAAAAACAAAATCATGAATATAATGGAATATAAAAAAGAAAATGAAATAATACTATCCAATATAAATGATAGAGTGAAAAATTTTCTCTTTGTTTTTTTTTTTTAAAACTTGTTTCATGTAAATGACATTATTTGTTGAATAAATTAATAGGTAGATTTCAAATTTATGTATTAGGAGAAAATAATTATTTTTTAAAATAAAAAATTTTTTATTTTTATTATCATGTTAGTATCTCTGATGTATTCGGCTGAGTGACCACTCGTTCAAACAATCATCAAAGTTTAGTGACTAAAAAATAATAAATTAAAGTTATGTTACTTTATGAAATTAAATGTAAAGTTAAGTCACTATTGGTTTAATTTATTCGTGACTATCCCCAATCATAGACAATTACAACAATTAATAAATTTTTATGCATATTTTAATTATAAATTTTTTAAATATAAAATTTCTATAATTCTAGATACTTTTATTGACTTATACATTAGAAATTTTAATTTTTTTGAATAATTTTCAATACTACAATTAAATAATAATAAAAAAAAGTTAGTTTGAGTGAAAATGACTCAAATCCTACTAGGAGGCGCTTCCTCTTACGAGTATGATGCCCACAAGTAAAATTAGGTTTAGTCCAATAAACTATGGACACTTATAGTATAAATGAAAATAATAATAATAATAAACAAGCTATTTGAAAAATATATTTTTTAGAAAAAGTTAGTTTCGAGAAATAAAACTGCCTCAACACGTTTGATAAAAAGATTCAAATATTTTTCATATGAGTAATGTTAAACGGCACAAGTTGTGCCTAACAAAACTGTGCATGATGTAAGTGAATTGTTCATGATACCTTTAATATATTTATTTTTTTTTAGTAGAGAGAACATTAAAAAAAAAGGCCATTTAGTGACGACATGTTAATAATTCTATAGCTAAATGTAAAATAACGATTGACCAGCGACAATGACAAACTGTTGCACAAAGCGTTGTCACTAAAAATTCGACAACCGATTTACAATATATTTTATAAATCGATCACTAAACCTATTTTTTAAAAATATTTTGATCAGTCACTAATCCGTTGCTATAGCTTATACAAAAAATAAAAATAAAAAATTTGAAAAACAAAAAAATTTCACTTGTTAAAAAAGGCAATATATTATGCTATATGAAACCATTCACACGAAATTCATGCCACCAATGAACAAAATACTAAAATACCATTATACAAAATACTAATGTTTGCAGAAAATTTTTCAAGTTATAATGTAATATGTACAAAATAAATATAAAAAGAAGCCTAATGTGACGAATCACGAAGATCTGCAAGAGTCTGAGAAGCAGATGACTTAGGCGGAGTGCAAGAAGCCGGCAGATTAGAGTGACCCATCGGGGTAGGAGTTGGCGATGCATTAGGTCGATCTCGAGCATACATATTCGTCAACTGTTGCTGTTGCAACATAAGTTGTGTAACTTACTACTGCTACGCTTGAAGCTGAGCTCATAAATCCTGGATATCCTTAGAACATGCCTCCGGCTCAGTCGGTGTGGCTCTACTCATTGAAGTCACATGGGAGCGGTTATAGAAAATCGAGGACTGCGAACAAATACTGTACATCTTCCTCTTCTTCTCGCCTCTTACAACCTTGAGATAAAGCAGGAACTCATTGATCGTAGGCTACTCAATAGTCTGAGCCTGAGATGAAGTCACTCACTCTTTCCCAACAGTATAATTATCCTCAAAATGCCTAATTTATTCGGGTTAGGTTGGATTATTCGGGGTGAGCCTATTGGCTTGGGTTTTAACATCTAAAAATGTTAAGTTTTTTCTAGATTTATAAAAATTAATAAAATAATTAAATTGACTATAAAAAAAATTATCCTGAAAATGAAGATAGTATATAAAATAAGAACAATGCAAAAATATACAAATTTAACGATGAAAAAACAAAGAATTATTTTTTAAGCTTACTCTAACAGGCTATGCATGTCTATCAATGAACGTGACCCTATCATGGTTCTTCGTATGTGTATATGTGAAGACCTCCATGGGGTAGACTCATGACTGTACTTCTTTGCCTATAATGCAATTCGTAAGTCGCGAAATATTTTATAATCATTTAATAATGAAGTTATAATAATGAAGCTATATTTCTTTAAGTGGAGTTATTACCAAAACTTGCACACCCTTGATGTACTATGATTCCCCAAAAATATCATACAATTAGTACGGCAACAGTCTATCTTTTCATCCGGTAGCCCTAAATTTTGAACCAACTTCTTTATTTGGTAAAAGTTATCAACCATGAAAATATCACCTGACATCATTTCTTTCGTTAATTGCACAAAATCATCATAATTCCTTTCTGAAATGTGGTGCTATGACTTAATATGTAACATTTGTGCGACTGCAGAAAGCAAAGGATGACTCGACAACCTGGCCATATTTCATGATTAGCGACACTTAACATATCATACAACTTTGGTGCCCTCGTATTTAGTGACTCCTCCATATTCAATGAAAATTAGGACCAACCACATCTATGACCATATCTTATGCCTGCAATGTTGGATCTAATTGCAAATGTACGCCATGGCTCTTTGATGCATTGGACTCTCGATCCAACCCATTTTTGCATAAATGGAGCTTAACTATTTCAACATCTTAAAAAGTCATATTTTTAAACTTTTAAGTTCGTATGGATACTTATCTTCCCTCTGTCCATACAACATGAATTACTGATAGCAAACTAAATAAAGGATTCTAGTCCCTCCATTCAACTCGTACCTTTGGTACATCCACATCCGATTAGCAAACATTTTTCATGTTTAGTTATCGATAGCTAGATTGTTATTTTAAAATAAAAGTGTATTTTGAATTGAATTGTAAGTCCTAAAATTTGGATGTGAACCTAGCACATTTAAAAATGTTTTATAAGTATATAACACAAACCAACAATATTACAATAAACATCTAATGAAATTTTGGCAATATCTTTCCACGGTTCTCTAGGTACACAAAGTGAGCATTAACATTACGTTGTACATGCAGAAAACATAAAAAGAATACACAACTGAAATCAACCAAAAGATGCTTAAGTAATTATTTTTTATGTGCATACATTTTGTACTAAAAGGCATTTCTAAACTATCCAACATGGAGAATTCAACGTCTTCTCTTCCATTTGGATTGAGAAAGACACCAAATGTGCAACTAAGATTTTTGAGTACCGAGGAAGGGGGAATTCGAACCCGGATCTATTGTCGGGTCGTATGTTTACTTATCAGGCTATTACCACTAAGCTATACCTTGGTATGCAACTAAGATTTACTTATCATATTTATGTTAATTAGGTTGTTTATGGTTCATTATCAAAAATTCACAATAAAAATTCAGCAATATTTCTCCTTAAAAACTAATAAATCAAAATTTTGAAACACTAAAAACAAACACTTCTAAAAGTCAACATTATTACTCCATATCTTGGACCACTACTAGGCCTCAAATCAACACATTTCATCTATAAAATTTTTGACATACACACAAACAAAAGAAAATACTTCTATAAGTCAACATCCACACCATTGTCACTGTTAGGCTTCTAATCAATACAATTCATCTTTCAACCATCAATGCATAATAAAAAAATATAGAAAACATATATTAAGTTATATGCTAACTAGGCTTTCCATCATTAAGTTGTATGCTTTTTATGCTTCATAATTTCATTATTATGTTTTATATTTTTGCATGCCTCATATTTGCCTTATTAAGTTTTATGCTTTCCTCATTAAAAAGCTAAGTGTATAGACATGCTAATTATGCTTCCTATTATTAAGTTTTATGATTTTTATGCTTACCTTATTTGCCTTATTAAGTTTAAAGTATGGTCATTTAAGTTTCTTTTTTATGGCTTTCCTAATTAAAAAGCTACAATTAGTATGCTACTTTATGCTTTCCTAATTAAAAAGGTAAGTATATCGATATGTTAATTATGCTTCCCATTATTAAATTTTATACTTACATACTTTGTTAAAGTATGGTTATTCTAAGTTTTTTTTCTTTCTTATAACTTTCCTAATTAAAAAGTTACAATTAGTATACTACTTAACTTATAAATTTAATTATGGTTATGTTAAGTTTCTTTTTTATAACTTTCCTAATTAAAATGCTACGGTTAATATGCTGCTCAACCTGCTACATAAAAAAAGAGAGAAAAAATTAGCTAATCGGAGTTATGATTGATTGCTGAAGAAATTTATGGAGGTACAATCTATAAATTTTAAATAAATATTTTTTAAAAAAGTAAAATACTAATTAATAAAACTAAATAAATCAATTACAAACTATTTATCGTGTCAACAAGATAAACTACTTCATTTTCTCCAAGAGCATTATTGTCCTTTTAACACTGTTGATGCAGCATACACAACTTGTGCGAAAACTATTTCTCGTTCGCGTGCATACAAAGGCGACCTGTATGCATGGTCCATAAGCATGAGTTCAAGTGTTGAGCATAGTTTTAGCATTGTCTTAAAGCAAAAGGCACCTTTGAAAATGACACGCAAGTCAGTTTTAGAAAGCCCAAAACCCTCTTCCCAGCAAAGAAAACAGTCCAAATCACGCGCATCAAGAAACGCGTGTGAAATCTAAAGAAAATGTCAACAATGTCTCATTTTATTTTTCCTCGGTCGGTCCAACCCAAACCCAATACCTTCACCGTCCGCACATTCTCTCTCTTCTTTCTCTCTTTCAAAGCCACCATTTCTTCACCTGCAATTCATTTCTTTTCAATTCTGTTCTTCACAGACTAATTCAATGTTTGATTTAGGCGATAATCTTACAATAGAAACCTATAGAATTCCATGGCTCATTTGGATCCAAATCATTATCTTTTTTCTTCTAATTTTCCTTGTTTATTCCTTCACCGCTTTTAGTTCAGATCTCTCTCACACCAACTCTTCTCCTTCTCCTTCCTCTCCTTCATTAGCTACAGCTTCTACTACTTCATACTTGAACAAAGAAATTCTCAAGCACAATAACAACACTACCGTCACAAATCGACTGCAGCTTCATCAGGTACTTCATTTTCTCATTCCCTCAAATATAATCTGTTTGGATATTCAGCGAATTCTAACTTTTTCTAAAAAATTTTCCTCTCTGCTAAAGTTCGAATTAATTGGATTAAATTTCTTTATTATGAATGATGCTGTTATTATTTCTTACTGTTTTCCGTTGGTGATTTTGATGCTAATTAGTATTGCTTCAAAAGGAAATTGAGTTCACTTTTTTGGTTGAAATGGTCTAATGACATAATCATTATTGAGGGCCTGATTTTAAACATAATGAAGATTAGTGACATTAATCATTGTTTAACAAGTTTTATGGTTCGGTTGGTAATTTTCATGCTAGTAATTAATTAGTGTTTAAGCATTGTTTAATCCTTTATGGCTTTTTTAATCGGGAAATCGGACTCCGAACAGAACACTTGTTGATCTAGTTCTTGTATTAATGGAGTAAGTAGAAGCTAAGACCTTCCATTGTAGAAAAAGGGGTTTGAAATGCTTTAGTAATTAGAATATGTTTTCCAAGCTTGCAAGAATGGTTTTGGTATTTGCTCTGTCATTTTCCTGAATGGATTTCTTTGAGCTTCATTGAAAGAAACAGCGACCTGTATATATATATGAACTTTTATTTATGTAAATGAAATGATTGAATTAAAAATTTTGCCTAAAGTAATGCAATGAAGAGTATCATTTTTCAATCAGAAATTATTTTAAAAAAAACAATTTCCGAGTCAGATATTCGATCAATTAAAATTTAGTCCTCTATAATTGAATTTTAAAATCTCATTAGTAAAATAAATTTAGTTGCATTTTAGTTATTTTCAAAAAGAAATTACTATATCTGAAACATTTTAAAAATGCGTGTGTAATATGCAATCGAGCCGTTATGAGAAAAAAAGCACCATATAAAAGAGGATCCAGCTGTTGCAATTGTCTTGTTTCTCTACAAGTGAGGCTAAAATAGCTACCTCTAATGGATGAGTAGGTTTATACATCAAATCATTTGGTATAAATAGTTAATATCAGTGTCTCTTTACTAAAAAAAAGGAATAAAAGAATTTTTTTAAATTGCAAAATTTATTGCTATAAAAAAGGGTTAGAATTAGGAAAGAATGTCAAATTATGAGCATGTAAATAAATTAAAATATTAAATATTTTATTTAATATAAAATAAATCATATCAAAAATTTTTTTAATTATTCATAATATTGTCTCATATTCTTACTTTATGTAGTCTTTTTTTTTTTTTTTTTTTTTTTGTCTCTTTACTAAAAAAAAGTGAATAGCAATTTTTGAAAATTCCAAAATTTGAATATGCGTAAATTTTTTCTCTCGTCAATACAGGGTTCAGCACCGAATTAAGGAAAAAGGAGATGGTTTTCGTTATTGAATAGTGAGACCATTGGTAATATTTATATTTTATCAAAATATTATAATAATACAATTGTAATATTGTGTAACTTCAAATTGTACATAGAGAAACATTATTAGACAATTATTATGATTTATTTCATAAATCACTAATGGCCCCTCAATTCAATATATACTTTTTCATCGGTAGTCTTTTTTTTTTTTTTTTTTTTTTTTTTGGGCTTTCCTAATATCTGTTGGATAAATTATTAAATTAAATAAATTTAGACCCCCTTTATATAAATTGGGAAAAAATATTATAATCGGAAAGGAGCATTCGGGAGATACCGTTGGGTCGCGAAAGACATTTAACGCTGTTAATCATTAAACAATAATATGTAAGAATAAAAAGAAATTTCAGTATTAAATTCCTTCTGAACAATAATTAATAATTTTATCGAATAATGACAGACCTGAGCAATTAAAATTTTTTTTATGTCATGGACAATCAGAATGCTGCCAACCTGTACCTGCAATTGTAGTATTTAGTAATTTTAACTACATCAGTAGAAGCGGCAAGCAAGTGCATAGTTTTTTTTGGTATTTGTTGATTAAAGCAGCTGCTTGCGCTGTCATTTTGATAAGGAATATTTTTAAATCGTTTCCATCGTCAGGAGGATATAGGCTGGTACTCATAGCATTTGCCAGTATTTATTTATTAGGTTGGCGTTCTCTCTATTTGTTTTTCTCTTTGTTTCTTTTTAAAATTTGGCAAGCAAATTTTGGACTTTAATTAAAATTTCATATTTATATTCGAACAAGTCGTGTTGTGCAGCTTGACTGCATTATGTTTTCAAACAAGTCTTTAAAACTAAGAGACGTAATTATATGTCGCTTCTTTTTTTTCTAAATAGAAAAATTTGGATTTTACATTGAGTTTGAACTCGAAATCTCCATATATTTTACTACCTCCTTTTTTTTTTTTTTTTTTTTGCTTTTCTATATCTGTGGATAAATTATCTCAAATTATAAATTTAGACTTTATATAAATTGAGAAAAAAATATTATAATCGAAGGAGAGTTCGGGAGATAGCCGTTGGGTCGCGAAGATCATTTAACCTGTTAATAATTAAACAATAATAGTAAGAATAAAAAAGAATTTCATATTAATTCTTTCTGAACAATAATTAATAATTTTTATCGATAATGACAACCTGAGCAATTAAAATTTTTTTTTATGTAATGACAATCAGATGCCAACCTGTACCTGCAATTGTAGTATTTAGTAATTTAATTACATCAGTAGAAGCCAAGCAAGTGCATAGTTTTAGGTATTTGTTGATTAAAGCAGCTGCTGCGCTGTCATTTTGATAAGGATATTTTTATCGTTCCCATGGTAGAGGACTAGGCTGGTACTCATAGCATTTGCCAGTATTATTTATTAGGTTGGCGTTCTCTCTAATTTGTTTTTTTTTTTTTTTAAATTGGCAGCAAAATTTGGACTTAATTAAATTATATTTATTGACAAGTCGTGTTTCAGCTTACTGCCATTTATGTTTTCAACAAGTCTTTAAACTAAGAGACTTAATTATATGTCGACTTCTTTTTTTTCTAAATAAAAATTTTGATTTACATTGAGTTTGAACTCGAAATCTCATAATTTTACTACCTCCATTTCATAATACTTATCACATTTGAAAAAATAATTTGTTCCAAAATATTTGCTACATTTATAATTTAAAGGAGTAATAAATATTTTTTTCCATGTTTACCTATTGTATATAACAATAATTATTACTTCAATTTAATGATCTTTTTATAATTAGTATTAAATTAAGGGTAATATAGTTAATTTATCAATAATTTATTATAATTTAAACAAATTTAATGATTTTTTTTAAGGAACGTGAAATTTTAAATGTAATAAGTATTATGGAATAAAGATAGTATTATTTTAGGGACGTGGCGGTTATAATAAAACAAATGTTGTTGCTCGTCTTTTTCTTTCTCCATGCATAAATTTAATCCTAAATTTTATAAGAAAAATTGTGTGGCTATTTTAATTTTTAATCCCGTTCGGAATAAATGAATTCCAATAAGATATTTTTATAAATCAAAACTTTTATGTTTGAAATGGAAAAAAATTAAAATTAAAATTCAAGAAATTTGATCTTTTGTGGATTTAGATGTAATTAAATCAAAATTTACCAAAATCAATGGAATTTTCAAATGATATTTTAATCAAACTACCCAAAATTTAATGACAGAACTATTTATCTTTTTAACCTTCTAAAATTATTTATATCAAGGGTGTTTTAAAAAATAAAAGCAAATGAATTTTTAATTTTTAATTTATTATAAACATTAAAAATTCATTGATAATTTATAAATGAGTTCATTATATGAGCATAGCTTGACCTATCAAATCTTTTAACTATAAGTAGATTACATTCATTGAACATTTTAATTTGTAATATTGTACATATTCGATACAGCTTTACATAATTTTTAGTCGCAAAATAAATATTTGTAAGTGGGATACTTTATATATCTTTTTAAACAATAATTTTCACATTTATAATCATTCAATAAGTGTTTAATGAATATAATTAGAATGTTCAATAAATGTAATTTTTTTTACATAAATTTAACACTTTGTTAGTTACTATTTTCTCTGTTCAATAATACTTGTCATATTTAAGAAAATAGCTTGTTTTAAAATACTTGTCACATTTGTGGTTTCAAAAAGTAATAAATGTTTTTTTTTTTTATGTTTGCCCTTTGTATATGACTAATAATTATTACTTCAATCTAATGATTTTTTTAGAGAATTAATATTAAATTAAGAGTAATATAGTGAATTTACTCAATAATTTATTATAACTTTAATGGTTTTCTTAAAGAATATGAAATTCTAAACGTGACAAGTATTATGAAATAGAGATAGTATTAGTCATTGAAACTATTAAATTGAAGTAATAATTATTGGTTATATACGAAAGGTAAATATGAAAAAAAATATATTTATTACTCTTTAAAACTACAAGTATTTTAAATGAAGTTATTTACTCCATATCACCTAAGAGAAGCAGTACTAATCAAGTGATAGGAAATCTTGATAGGAAACAAGAGAGTACAGACTAATGTGGGGACCTCCATGGGTCCTAAGGTCAGTCTAAAGGCAAAGAATAGTCTATAAAACAATGAAGTATAAACAAAAACATGTGAATTGCATCCAAAAATTTAAAACTATCATAATTGATAGAAAAACAGAGAGATTGGATTGAGAAAAGTGTAACAGGTAGCAAGTTTTTTGCAGGTAGGAGAAAGGCAAAGTATAAAAGGAGAGATAGCAACAGGCACAAGTAGTAGAAGAATAATTACAGAAGAGAGTAGAGAAAGGGAAGGCTTTTCAACAAACGCCATAATAGAATTCCATCCTTGCGACTATTTTAGGCTTGCGAAATTAGCTTTTCTCAAGTGTTTCGGATTAGACTCCACCTCTGATCAGAGTTCTTCAAGCTCTGACAGGAAAAAAGAAAGGTAGAACACTGTATTTGAGAAAAAGATTGCAATTGTAAATAATTGTAAAGAGTAGCTCAAATTGGATTTTTTTTTTTTTTATTTTTGAAATTCAATCCAAGCTTTATTGACTGGACACACTTCTCAATTAGTTTTTGGCTTTGTTCATATGAATCTAACCCTTTTGTCTTTAACATAGTGTAACTTCGTATAGTGCGTCGAGATAGTCTAGACAAGGAGGAGGCAAAGGCCATGGGTTGTAGCATTGTTTTAAGACAGTTGGTGACTGGCTGGTGATGACACCTACACTTGTCATTTGAGTTCTTTCAGCAAACAATTACACCTTTACGCTTTGAAACAATAAAAAAAAAAAATTAAAAAAAAAACTTTTTTAAACAATAAAAAGATTATTTATTTACTTCACACTATGTAAAATGAAATATTATAAAATTTTCTAGTAGTGTAACAAGAATTTTTAATTTATAATATAAAGTTATTTTATATTTAAAATATACAAATTAAAGTTTCAAATTGTTTTATAAAAAATTGGTTCTGTCCCTTCCTTTGTACCCAAAAAAAAAAAAAATTGTTTTATAAAAAATTAGATAGGTAATTTCAAAGAGGTTATTTGCTAATTTACAAATTTATCCAAGAAAAAGAAAAAGGAGAAAAAAAAATGAGGTTAAAAAGAGTGAGTAATGCAACTTAATCGACTCTGATCCATTTACATCAGGTTTGGATATCAACTAAATAGATTTGTATAGAGTATTAATAACCTTACATTGATTCAGGTTTGAATTAAATTTAATAGTTCAATTATAGGTAATGATGAGCATTCATTGGCTCGATTCAGTCAATTCAATGCATGAATAAATGTTTAGTTAATGGTCGAATTAAAAAAAAAATCATATTTTCAATGATGAGTTAAATGTTTATTAAAAGTTAATCAAATTAATCGACGTCTAAAATTATGTTTTTTTAATTAGGCAGATAATATTAAATTATAAATATTTTTAGTTGCTTTTTGAACTTTTAAAATTTCAGTTAATTTTTATTTCAGATAAAATTAGTTGATTACAAATTATTATTAAATTCGGTTAGTTATTGGGCGTAGTTAATAATAAAAATTAATTGGGTTAAGTTTAATTAAGAAATTAATTTTGTTGACCCAAAAAAATTTTGGTTGAAAACATGTTTCATTTGAATTAATAGGTATCAATTTCATTTTAAAAAGATTGAATATAATATTTTAAGTGAAAACTAATTTGTATCATGATATTTAATTCATTCCTATGTCTTTTTATAACTGTAGAAGGAAAAAAAAATTTTTTTAATGTTATGTTAATTGAAAATTTTTATTAAAACGTAAAACTTTTATGAAAATGTTCTAAATAAAAAAAACTAATTGAATCGAGTTAATTCAATGCGTAAAGACTCAAGAGAGTTAATGAGCGACAACTACTTCAACTGCATAACATTCAAATTCTTTATTTCTCGAGGCAAATAATAAAAGAAGAGAGTCCCTGCAATTTAAGATGTCCAAGACAGTACCCAACTACTCCTCTGTGTGTCACGAAAAAAAGAAGTGGCAGGTGTCTAGCGACCGAGAGGGGCAACCGAAAATCCAAAACCACCGTAAACAGAGAAAGGAAGATACTAGACATGGAAACTTCAGCCATAGATACAGAGGAAGAGGAGCAGAGAAGAAGAACAAGAAAAGAAGAAATATGTAATCTCTTTATTAGTCCTTGCTACTTCTCTGAAAAGCTTATCAAGTCTCTTCTTAAGTGCTTGGGCTATGAATATGATTCATCAACCACACTTGAACAACCACCACCACCTTCAGATAATCCTCCTCAAGCCGCAGAAATAGCCATGAAAATAAATGTAAGTAACCCTTTCTCTCTCTCTCTCTCTCTCTCTCTCTCTCTTCTCACTCGCATATTTCTCTGTTAATGTTAAAGATAACAAATTGAACTTAAAACTAAATATTAAGGCTTGTATGGATTTTATAGGAAGTTAATGAGTTGGATGATATATAATGCAGGAAGAGAAGGCAGTGCCTCCAAGACCACCTATAAGCGGTGGGGGAGGTGGTCAAATCAACTAGTTTCAGTTTCCCTCTTTCTTTAACGTTCTTTTAACCAAGTTTTCACTTCTTATAAGTAATTAATTTTGTGTTATTGCGCTTAGATGTATATATTTATGGTCTTTAAAAAAATTAGTTTCTGTTAATATTTATATGTATTTATGGTAATAAAACATATTTAAAATAAAAGCAATAAGGTTATGGATTATATTTTTGTTAATTTTCTCATAGTTAACCAAATATAATTATTCTTTTTTCTTAAAAAATTTTATTGTTACCCAAACAAGATAATCAACATTTTTACTATCTTAGGAAAGTAATCCTCCACGGTAACCAAAAGCCTCCTAAATGTTTGATTGAATTTGGGCTACAAATGAATTAAATGGCCTGTAAATTACTAACTGTTCAGCGCCGGAAGAACTTGATTGAACTTTTTTTTTTTTTTTTAAACTTGTTTAACAGGAGCTAAGTAAATCTTGTTGGTTGTAAACTTTTAAGTATCAAAATATACTTTAAACAAATTATCAGGTGGTAATCTCAGACCTGGTTAAATTCTATTCAAAAAGTAATCCAAAGGAAATGGATTTTAGAAGCAAATAGTTGTGCAAATTGGTTGGCTAATTGTGCTGCTTCAATGCCTTTGGGTAGACATGTAGGATTGATTTCATCTTTCACCCATATAATTAATAAGTAGAAGAAAAGTGTACATTAGCCAAAATTGAAGCTATCTGTGTGATTAATATTGTTTGGGAGGCATATGACTCTATTACCTTCAGACAATTTGCTCTCTGTTTCACAGAAAACAATTATCATAAAGATTGATGGAAAATGAATGTAAAAAGCTTCCAAAATATAAAAATCAAGTACACTATACTTTCAATTTGTCCTCTTTCCCTTGTAATGGAATTGCTAAATCAGTGTGCAATTGCCACCAGATTTGGCTGTCTGATGTTATTTTTTAAAACAGCATTTTTTACATTTTGTTTTTTCTTTTTTATTTATTCTTTTTAAAAGTGCAGAAAAATCACAATTAGAGAGAGTCAAAAACTTTAAGTTTTCCCAAATCATCATTTGCTAAATACAGTTCTTGAAATGCAAACTCAGACATAATGTTAAATAGATAGTTAATAGATTTTGACGACAACATTCAATTTTTACGCATTTTATCTATGTGCCTGTTAAAATTCTTTATTAAGTTCAAAAATAAACTTAAAAAAGAAGAAGAAGAAGAAAAGGTCAACTATGATTGAATTAATGAATGGTAAATAGAATCGTCCATTATATTTAGCAGAAAGAAGGATATTTCCCGCTTATTTTTCATACTCAAGAAGTTTATAGTTTCTACAATCTTCATAAGTCAGCACAGAATTATTAAAACATTGGCATCGTCCACAACCATTAACCAAATCTTGGTTTAAATACTAATTAAACAATGGAAACCAATTTCTACAACAGCAGTGAGTGATTCAAAAATTATCCGTCTGTCAAAGAAGCTTTAACACAAGAACACATCACTATGGCTCATTTTATTCCTTCAGTCCACACCAATAGAATTAAAGGACCAATTAAGTCCTTACCCAAGATCACTCTAGCCCATTTTGGACTATTGATCCACATCATTGTTTCCATATTACAGTACATGAACACAGCAATGTAAATATGACAAGTTGATTCCAATGATAACATGAGATGCCCACGAGAACGGCAACACATTTCTTGTGTAACTAAAGTTCATCTGAAACATCAAAGAGCTTTCCATTCCTAGCATGAATGCATAATATGGTAAAACATTCAATAAACTGAAAAGCTTTCGCTCAACATTACTCCATAACAACAAAGAGAATTACTATTTATGTTATTCAATATTTTCTAATTTTAATTAAATTGTACCCTTTTCTATTTTATTAATATGCAATAAAAATCGTTTATCATAAGAAAGACTGTGGAAGTATTTTAATGCACCCACTCATATCAAAGTGTCAGACACTACTGTGAGACATTTTTGATTTTATATTTTTTTGTTGGACACGGTTTGATGAGTCATGTGAAACAAGTATGATGCTCCAAGAAGTGTTGGTGCATCATAGTTTCCATGTCTTCATCAAACCTGGACTTATCAATCCAACTTTAGCGGTTCCATTATGATCAACACAGCACAAGCCCCACTTCTCAGTACCACCTAAACCAGACTAGGGCTGTACTCCATTTTATCATCTGAATTAAGTATGCTGTGGTCCTAGATATTTGTATGCAGCTTGCCTTAGCCTTAGCAAATAATATCTATTTACATTGGCCATAAATATAATAAAATTATTCATATCTTAGAAGCAGTCGATCGCATAAGTTGATGATTTAGTAACCAAAAATAGTATTAATGATTTTATTTAGTAGCCTTAGGTAGAGTTACTTGTATGCTTATTTTTTTATATTGAATTAATGATAGTCCTTATTTCTTGAAACTTTAATCAACTAAAGATGTTGAATCTGTAATTTTCTCCCTTATTTTTCTTATACTAAAATAAGTAAAAGAAAAGGGTAAAAGATGATTGAATTTATTATTTACACATAATATATGTTTTCATTTATCCTATATACAACGAAAAAGACGATCTATTTATTGGCAAACATGAAATTAAAGCAACTGGTGGAATAGAAATGGAATCTATTTATCCCAAAATTTTCAGTCATGTCAAGGTTTCCTAGTTGCAGTTCATTAGGAAGTGTCCAATCAAAATAATATAGCAATTATGTTAGTTATAACAAATGGGAGAAGCTGACTGTAGGTATTAGGTGTATTACATAAATTCTAGCTAATTATAAAAGTTGGTGCTAGAATTGGCTATTGGCATAATCACAAAGGGGAAAAAAGGAACAAGGAAAGAAAGAGAAGAAAAAGGTGATGGTGGCAATAGATGAGAGCAAATTTAGCCATTATGCTGTGGAATGGGCAATTGATTATTTGAAGGACATAAATGTTAATTTTGAGCTTGTCATCTTCACTTCAAAACTTGATACATACTTTGGTTATGTCCGTGCTTCTTTTGGTTCTGCTTGTAAGTGTTTCTCTCTCTGTATTTGGTTTTTCAAAATTTTTAGGGCAGTTTTTATATTTTTCAAAAACAATGGGGCTACGGCTCTTCCTAGTTCCGCCCTTGACTTCAGCACAAATTTGGGTCTAATATACAACAATATCATTAACTAATTGCTCTCTGAACTCAGTGTTGACATGTCTATGCACACTGCATGAACAAGTTCTGCTTATTCAGGGCCTGTCTTTGCTTTGCAGCTTCAAATTAATTCAGACAAGAGTTCATAACTAAAATTGACACTAATTCCTAAGTTTTTGCTTTTTGATGCCACACTCATCAATCTACAAATCAGAAATCTAGTCAGACTTTAAGCATCAAAAGCTTTCATGATCATCTCTAAGTGTGACAAAAAGCTATCCTATACTGAAATGTTACTTACAGAAAGGAAAATTGTCGTATGCATTAGATTTAATAATAAAATTAATACAAACTCTATGCAAACACAACATAAGAAGAAGAAACCAACAAGTCTCTCCTATCAATGTCTCCTTCAACTAGCAGGTGCATAATATCTCATTTTCTAACACCGAAAATGCTAAAATTCAACAGCAACGTCAAAATTTGGATACAAGTATAGACATGTACAGAAATCAAATTTGATATTCTCACCAGAAGGCTCATGCTCTTAACTCTATCGCTTAGCTTGTCTTTTAAAATAGTTAAAAGTCATCCTGGAAAACTGAGTGAGAGTGAAAAATAATTGAAAGATCATGCGACCTTTTACAATGCCCTCCCTTATGCCCCTTGCTTTCCTAGCCACCACTGGTCCTCCTGTCTCAGTTTTGGGGCTGGTCACCCTCTGCAACAAAGCTAAACAAGTAAAGATTTGGTAAAATTCAATGCGCAAAATCCATTTAACAAATGACGAATGAAAAGCTAAAGATATGTAGATAACCCGGTGGTGTCATGCTTGCCAAACCTCGAAGCCTCTCCTCAGCTAAGCGAACAGCTCTAGTGGAGCTTCTAACACCTTGAGTTATCTCTTGTCTATGAAGACATATTGTTCAAATGAAATGAAATCATCATTTAATTAAGATCTAATGATAAAAATGAATAATTTTGTTGCACTTCTGCAATTCGAGCTTAACCTTTTAAATGTTATTTCCGCCTTAATTTGAAAACTCCATTCCAATTATACTTTTTTCATCAAAACTGAAAGAAACAATATTATAATACCATTCACAATAAAAAATTAATTTCTAATATTTTTCTTTTCTCTTTCTCCCGCATCTCCTCCGCTCCGCTCCTTTCCTCTTACTCTTCTTACCGCCCTCTATTCCCTCTTGCTTGTATCTATACCCAGAATTGTCCCCAATAACCTCTAACATCCAACATTTTGTCACATTTTTGCTTAAAAACCAGTGAGATATTTTGTACTAAAAAAAGATTATGTTGTTTTAATTTTGACTTTAAGATAAAATTGAAACTAAGTATTCAAATTATAGCCAATACAATAAAAAGCTCAGGTAAATAACAAAAGAACAAAAAGGTTAGCTTTTTTTACTATTACTAATACTATTAGGCCTTTAATTTAAGAATTTAAAGTTGAAATAGCAAGTATAATTGTACAAGAATTTAAGGTCGAAATGGCAAGGATAAATGTATAGGAGTGTCTGGAGAGTAAGCACTGACCCTAAATCACTTAGCTCCATTGTTAGGTCACTAATCTCCATACCAGATAAACGAATAGCAGCCATTGTATCAGGAAGCTCTTCCCTAGTAGCATCCATCAACTTTTCAAGGGATTCTGCTGCTCTCTTGAAAGCCTTTAAATGGTAAACAAAAAAAAAAAAAAATGACAAATAAAATAAAAAAAAACACCAAATAGCGAAATAGTAAACGGAAAGTAGAAAAAGGAAGTGCAAAGAAATTGCATACGAGGAGAGCAGGAATTGCAGAGAAAAAAAGCCAGGTTGCTGAAATTGCTGCCTGCAGTACAAAAACAATGGAAACTATCACAAATTATCCACAAAAAAAAAAAAAAAAAAAAAAAAAGAGGAGAGCAGGATTTGGCAGAGAAAAAAAGCCAGGTTTGCTGAAATTGCTGCCTGCAAAGTACAAAACAATGGAAACTATCACACAATTATCCACAAAAAAAAAAAAAAAAAAAATTTGCTTCAGATTAAAAAGTTTAAATTTCAAATAAAGATACATGAGAGAACATACATACGACCGCACAAGCAATGACATTGGAGCACTGACGATGTGGCGTTTTTAAAAAAAAAAAAAAAAAAAAAAAAATTGCTTCAGATTAAAAAGTTTAAATTTCAAATAAAGATACAGAGAGAGACATAATACCGCACAAGCAATGACATTGAGCATGACGATGTGGCGTTTACTGAGGTTCCAGTGGGAGAGGTGAATTGTAGAATTAGAAAACGGCGGAGATCCGACGGACGAAATGTACTCCGATGAAATTGACGGCTCTGATTCTGCTGGTGAAGATTGTGTAGAATCATAGTGTGATAGTACGGTTATCGAATGGTGCCGTCGAATTGGAAGGCGGACATTGTATGGTAAGCGACGGGAGGTAGCTACGTGAGAGAAGGTGTAGTTAGTCCACCTGGGGTTAGAAAGGCGCAATTTCAGTGAGCTTAACATTTTGGTATTGAAATCTCCGAACTCTCCGCCACTACCAGAAGAGTGAATGAGTTTACAATGCCCTTTATGCTCTGTTCATTTTTGTTTGCAAAATATTTTCATCCAAGTCCTCAATTTTGACAAGAATTATTTATTAACACTTTAAGAACTCACAAAATTGCTACTTCTTCCCTCCCATTAAAATTGGCATACCATTGTTTTCATCCGTACGAATTTACACCTCACTTTACTTTTTGAAACTATAATTAAACTTTTAATTTCTCTAAATATATTTCTATTTAATATGCTTTGTTATGAATAATTTTCTCATTCGATTATTTATTAAAAGCAATAAATAATATTAATTATATTGAAAAAATAAGCAATTTTAATAATTTTTTCTTGAATATGTGAAAATAGAAATAAATCTATCAGAAGAAAAAGAGTATATAATTGTCATAATATTCACAGATCAAGTATATTTTACTGACAAATAAATAACTATCATTCTTTGTCAATAATATTTTAAGAAGTCTATAATAGTCTAATTTTTGCATAACTCTGACCTATATATATTATCCTCCTACTACATTTATCGTCTATATCCCACACAGATAAATTCATTTATATTTCCATACAACTTAAGAAAATTTAATTAATTTTATATGAACAGATGTTTATGGAAGTCTTGCCCTAGTAGCAGCATGTGGCTTATCTGATATCCCTATAGCTGGATATCATTTTACTTAGTGTAACGGTCGAGAGGTTGGCAGCAAGGTTGTCAAACTCGCATTTTTTCCTGAAATCGAGGACGGTCGAGAGGTTGTCAACCTCTTCTTTGCGTGACTTTCAAGAGACAATAGCAGCATGTGGCTTATCTGATATCCCTATAGCTGGATATCATTTTACTTAGTGTAACGGTCGAGAGGTTGGCAGCAAGGTTGTCAAACTCGCATTTTTTCCTGAAATCGAGGACGGTCGAGAGGTTGTCAACCTCTTCTTTGCGTGACTTTCAAGAGACAATAGCAGCATGTGGCTTATCTGATATCCCTATAGCTGGATATCATTTTACTTAGTGTAACGGTCGAGAGGTTGGCAGCAAGGTTGTCAAACTCGCATTTTTTCCTGAAATCGAGGACGGTCGAGAGGTTGTCAACCTCTTCTTTGCGTGACTTTCAAGAGACAATAGCAGCATGTGGCTTATCTGATATCCCTATAGCTGGATATCATTTTACTTAGTGTAACGGTCGAGAGGTTGGCAGCAAGGTTGTCAAACTCGCATTTTTTCCTGAAATCGAGGACGGTCGAGAGGTTGTCAACCTCTTCTTTGCGTGACTTTCAAGAGACAATAGCAGCATGTGGCTTATCTGATATCCCTATAGCTGGATATCATTTTACTTAGTGTAACGGTCGAGAGGTTGGCAGCAAGGTTGTCAAACTCGCATTTTTTCCTGAAATCGAGGACGGTCGAGAGGTTGTCAACCTCTTCTTTGCGTGACTTTCAAGAGACAATAGCAGCATGTGGCTTATCTGATATCCCTATGACTGGATATCGTTTTACTTGGTGTAACGATCGAGAGGTTGAGCAAGGTTGTCAAACTGGAATTTTTACCTAAAATTGATGGACGATGCATAAAATCAGGACGTAAAATCGAATTATAAAATCGTAAGATTTTACGAACCACTTAAAATAAGTAATACAGATCCCATATAAATTTATAACAAGGCAAAAATAAAACTAATAATAGAAAAAAGAAAATACTATCATAATACAAACTAAGTTCACAACATATAATAAAAAAAATAACATAAGAATTCATAAGTGAAGAAAAATACTAAATAAAGATAAACTAAAAGACAAGAAATAGTCGTTAGCACTTCTTTCAAGACTACCATCCTCCGTATCATCATTCACATTTTCATCACCACCATACTCATCATCACCATCAAATGCACTACCTATATCATCACCACCAAATGCACTATCTATATCATCACCACCAAATACATTACCTATATCATTTTAACTACTACCTATGTCATCACCATCCACGTTAAAGTCATGGATTTCTAAATCATCTCTTGCTTCATGACTTTCTATGAATTCAAATTCATTTGATACTTGATTTCCACCATTTTCTTTCATCTATATTTATACCACTTGTTGGTCCGCTTCCAAAAACATCCAAACAGTCATTATTTGTTGCCAATGGTGAATCAAGATGATCTTCTTCAGCTATCCATTCATCATCATATGGTAATTCTTCAAAAGATGTTGGCTCATCATAAGGTTTAGCTTTTTTCTCTTTCAACTTCAAATTGTACATTACAAAAACCAAATCATTCATCTAACTTTTGATGCAAGCGATTCCTTTTTTTCTGTATGAACCTATAGAGGTAGACAAGATGAATAAACAACATTAGATAACATATATATGAATGAAAATAACTACATAGTAGTTTCATTAACATATATTATAATTTCAAATGCACTCCAGTTACACTTACAACCACAAGAACTACAAGTCAAACTCAAAATTTGAATTGCAAATTTTTACAACTCAGGGCATTCATCATCATAAGAATCCCACCACTTAGCTGGAGGTTTTCTTGTCCCTAGCCAACTTTGCAGCTTCTATGCCAAATAAACCTTCTGCATCCTTGAAAGATTCAAGTTGTAGATCTATTTTACATCTCTCCCATGAATCCGGCACCATTCTTTCAAGGCAACTATATAGTCCAATTTTAATTTCAGTATCAAATCTAAAATTAGGATTATAATGGTAATGTGGGTTCAAGTAGTAATCTGCTGCATGCAAAGGCCTATGTAATTGAAGCTCACATCTAAAGAAATATTGAAGAATATGAATTGTAATCTGATTCTATTGCTATCATGAAGGTACAATATATATACAGCAACAGTAGCCTTATAAACCTCAACAAACTAAACAAATACTAATAACAAAAAATAACAAGTTATAAAACGCCTAAATGAGGCGATCAGTATAACAGATATGAATTCCTGTAGACTGTTTTACAACCCCCTCAGTTCAGAAGTGCAACAACTGGATAACTTGGTAAAAAGCTGATCAGGGCCGACCGCAAGGCTTAGTGAGCAAGTCATGCAACCTTATCAGCGCATGAAGATGACAAACATGAACTTCTGGCTTGAAGACTTGGTCGAACAAAGTGAAAAATCCAATAGCAATATTGCTTCATTTTGCTTGAAAACAGGGATTTCCAAAGAAAGGAGTACCAATTATCCAGATATGGGTATTGCAGTAGAGGCTGCGTTTCTTTAATAAAGATTCCGTAATCCAATTTGTTTCAGCAGTTGGGCCGCAGCAACGGCACGATATTCAGCTTCGGCGAAGACGTGACACTGCCCGTTGCTTCTTAAAGACCAGGAAATGACGGCTGGAAACACAATATAGGACAACATAACCAGTTTAGAGGTGCGATAACGAGAAGTTGTAGAGGTGCGATCAACAGGATCCCCAGCCCAGTCAGAGTCGGAATAAGTGCGAAGTTTGTTGTCACTTTGTCGAGATAAAAATAGAGCATAATGAGCAGTTTGTTGGAGATACCGTAGTAAACGCTTGAGAGCCCGGCAATGATCATTAGAAGGACAATGCATAAACTGGGCAAGTTTATTAACAGAAAAAGCAATATCTGCCCTGGTAAAGGACAAATATTGAAGTTTACTACAATGCGCCGATAGAAAGAAGCATCAACAATATCTTCTGGAAGAGACACTGTGAGAACAGTATTGGAGCTCATAGGTGTAGAAACCCCTTTGGAATTCTGCATATTAGTCTCTAGCAATAACTCCAAAACATATTTCTGTTGAGAAAGAAACAACCCCTTTGGTGAAGGAATGACCTCAACACCGAGAAAGTAATGCAAACTACCAAGATCTTTTAGAGAAAACTGATTTGAAAGACCATTAATCACATGTTAGAGAAAACTGATTTGAAAGACCATTAATCACATGTTAAACACCTCTTATATTATTGCCAGTGACAATAATGTCATCCACATAAACAAGAACACTAGAGTTGTGCCTGATAAATAAAGATGAGTCCGACTTAAACCGATTAAAATCCACAGATAGAAGATAATTGGTGAAAGTAGTGTACCATGCTCTTGGAGCTTGCTTTAAACCATAAATAGCCTTTTTTTAACTTACAAACATAAGAAGGTCGTAGAGAATCTTCAAACCCAGGTGGCTGTCTCATATACACATCTTCATCTAATGTGCCTTGAAGAAATGCGTTATTAACATCCAGTTGATGAAGGGGCCAATTATTTTGAGTGGCCAGAGCAAGAACAAGACGGACAGTTGTTGGCTTAATCATAGGACTGAAAGTGGAATGAAAATCAATACCTGGTCTCTGAGAAAGCCCTTGGCAACTAACTGGGCTTTAAATCTGTCAATTGATCCATCCGGTTTATATTTTATGCAATATAACCATTTGCAATCAACAATATTCAGAGAGGATTGAGCAGGCACAAGATCCCAAGTCTAGTTACGACGTAAAGCATCAAATTCTTCTTTCATTGTTGTATTCCAGTGAGAATATTTCTGTGCTTGTTTATAGGTAGTAGGAGGTATGAGAATCATACTAGAAGCAAGAAGAGAATGAACCAAATTAGGTTTACTGATATTATTTTTAGCACGGTAGCACGGGTTAACCATGATGAAATTTGTAGTGGTGGAGGAACAACAGTTTTGGTGTGTGTGGTATGTATGTTGATACGTGTGTGTTTTCATGTGAGGCGGGTAGAGGTGTGTGGTGGGAGTGTGTAGTTAGAAGAAGAGTAGATTATTTTTATTTCCCGACTTATGTAGCAGCCTATTGGGAGCATGCATATGAACAGAGCAGACGGGCATCGAAATAATAAAGCAGGCAATAATTCAGTTAGATTGAGTAATCGTAGGTTTTGATCTAGATATATGTCATTAAGACCCTATTTATCTTATATAGCTGATAGATTTGATTTTAAATGAGAAGAAAATATTACTTTACTAAAAGGAAAATTATTCTCAAAAAAATAAGACATCACGAGAGAGGTATATTTTAGACGAAATCGGATCATAACACTGATGACAGTAATATTTAGTTGAAAAACCTAAATAAACACATGGTGTGGACCGAGCTTCTAGTTTATGTTTGGTATACGGTCGGAGCCACGGATAACACAATGAACTAAAGCTACGAAGTGAGGCTAGATTTGGGATTGCTTGGAATAAAAGCTGATGCGGAGATTTTCCATTTAAAACAGGGGTGGGTAACTTGTTGATGATATAAACAGCGTGGGTACAAGCAAAACTCCAAAATTGAGATAAAACTCCAAAAGGTGGATGTAGGAAAGATGCCTGAGGACATAATGTTTTACAGTTCAAATAAAGATGACGATGTCGTTGCGTGCAACATATGTGCAACACGTTGGGGAGTGTTGATGGGAGGGGTGGAGAATGAGGTATGTTTCGGGAAGTTCCATTGTGTGTTGTAGAAGGAAGAAAGACTCTGAAATGCTCCCACCAGCCATCAGTAATAAGATAAAGTTGGTGTTAAAAGTCGCTCCTAGGAGAGGATGCAAACTTGTAAAGCACTATGAACTTACAGTCTTTTGTTTTGAGAGTGTTAAACCACATTGTACGGAGAACTGATCACAAAAACAAACATAATATTTTTTTTTGATCAATGGAAAAGAATGGGGAAGAAGGTCCCATAATAAGTCACTGTAAACAATTTGGAGTGGTTTTTCACTATGCAAAGAATTTTCAAAAAAAGGAAGGCGATGCATTTTATTAATAGAACAAGAATTACAAGTTTGCAAGTGAGAATGATAAGGAATAGACAAATCCTTTAAAACTTGACATAATACACGTTTGTTGGGATGACCTAGACGACGATGCCACATATCAAGAGATTGAGATGTGACTACTGAGAAGGTGTGAACATTGTGCATATTATTTCGAGGCCACTCGTAAAGTCCATTTCTAGTCTGTCCTTGGACCAGGTGCACGCCCGTCGTCAGATCCTTCACAAGAAAATGATAAGGAAATAGTTCAATAGAAGTATTATTGTCACGACAAAAAAGAGAAGCAGAAACAAGATTATGAGTGATTTTGGGAGCACAAAGAGTATTAAAGAGCTGAAAATTATTATTTGATGCATTAAGTGTACCAGTACCAATGTGACTAATCCTTATAGAATTACCATTACCCATAGTGACTTCTTCTGGCCCATGATAGTCATTAGCTGTAGCTAATGTCTTCGCATCATTGGTTATATGATGATTAGCACCCGAATCAATTAGCCAAGGTTGTTGATTCTGAGAATATGAGGCTGCAAAGTTTGCTCTTGCTTGAAGATGATTATGAGATTCAGACCTGCAGACACGAGCAGTATGACCTGGTCGATCACATAGTTTTGTCAAAGGTTCGTTGTTGATTAGAGCGTCGGCCACGCCCTCGAGTTGAAAACTGTTGTTGTCGCCATGAAGATGATTGCTCAGAATTGTAATTTGATGTCCTTTGTCCAGTAGAACGATGTGAGGTGGAATTGGGCTTTGTAGCAACCGCAGCTGTAATGGCAGGATTTAATTTTGGCTCTTCATGTTGAAGAAACAATTCATGATCAAGAAGTTTGTCATAGAGTTCTTCATATGAGATGGTAGTGTCCCGAGATCGAATCGCACGCAGCAGAGAGTGATTTGTAGTCAGAGCCAAGTCCTTGCAAAATTCGAACAACAAGTTGAGAATTGGTGAGTGGTTCACCAGCAGTTGCAAGTTCATCAGCAATAGAACGGATTTCACGAAGATAATCAACAATAGGGCGAGAATCTTTGGTAAAGCGAGCTAATTTATCTTGAAGGCTGAGAATTCTGGTTTGAGATTTGTTAGCACAAAAGCTGTATGTTAAAGATTGCCGCATGCTTTATGTAGAGTTTAAGTTTGGTAAAGTACAACATTGTGATGCAATAGTAGGATCAAAGATGCCAAAAGTGCATTTATGGATGAGTTATCTTGACGAAACATTGTATGATAAGCTGGGTTTGGTGGTATTAGTAGTGGAAAGAGTTTGTGTGTGGGCTGCAGTTACCATCAAGATGTTCCGTATAAGTTGGACCAGACTGGCATCTCAATTTGAGCTTTCCAAATAGGGAAATTGGAACTCCTCCACCTCCAATTTGGATAGGTAATTGAGCAGTGGGATTGAATTGAAAAATAGTTACTGATATTGAAGGAGAGATCAGCATTGATAACTGGAAGCAGCTCATGGCAAAAGAGGAGGGAAAAAGAACAAACAAAAAGAAGGTTTGCCTTGTGAGAGCACTT